TGATTTTACGAACCCAATTCTTGTATCCCTTATATCTAGAAAAGCACTAAATTCCTTCATGGTGAAGTCTGCTCCTCGTGACTAGCAGTAACCCCCATCAGATCTTCTGCAAAAATATGTGCTTGATTGCATGTACTCCCTCTTCACCAAAATCATATATATTGACCTCCCCCCCAACTCATTGGAGCAGTTTTTCAGAGCTATCTGAAATGCTTTCTCCTATGCTATAGTCCTCATTTTGCCCCAAATAAAAATGAACGTTGGACTTTTTTTTTAAGACAGTAAGGTGCAGAAGGGGGATCAGTTTGGGAGGGACATCCAGGGATTTTTAGATTTACTAGTTCATCTTATATTTTACTCATTGATAAGTAATTATTTATTTGTGTTTTTAAAATTCGTTGCATATATAATGAGCACTTCTGTGTGTCTAGGACATGTTTTACAAAGAAAAGAGGAAGCAGTAATAAGAGGTCAAAGAGAAGAAGAGAGAACTAAAAAGAGAATGAACGAACAGAAACAAAATATCTTGCCCTTGTGTTCCAAACATTAATCAGACTCTAATCAATGCTGTGTCACAGAGAGAAATTAGAATTAGTTTCTATCCATAAGTAGCTCTTGGCCTAGTGGAGAAAAATTTTGAAAACATGTGAAAAAAGAAGCAATGTCTCTGTATTTTCTAACAAAGATTAAAATGGCACATAAATTTTTCATAGAAAAATAAACTCAGATTTTTCCTTTTAAAAATTTGCATCATAAATTATTTTTGACTGCTCACACACCGGCTTTAACTCCTTTCAGTCATGGTTACTGTAGGTGGTGTAAATATCTTGTGACTGGTATGCAGTAGAGATATCTTAAAGTACCTAGTTAAAAAATACACTTTTAACATTAAAATATTAAAAGTTGGCTTTAATATCTTTCTGTATGTTTTGTGATTTGGCTTCTCAGGTATCCTTGTGGCTTTTAAAAACATTTGCTGTTGGAAATGCCATTTACAGGACCCCTTAGGGAATCTTATGAACATGAGAAATTGGCAGAGAGAAATAACACTATACCCCTGAAGTTATTTCTTTAATTTAAACCATTTCAAAACACGAATTTTGTCATTAAACAAAACTCACTCTCTGTTTCCAAACTTTACATTAGTTAGACAGGAATAGTGTAATACAAGCTTTCATAGCATTTACAATTCAGGAAAACTTTTCTTGGAGTAATGTAGTATGTTTAGATGGACATTGATTGGATGATTGTCTTCATAAAAGATGCAGCCATAAATGGGGCATTTTCAGTGCATAAAAGTGATTAATATAGGCCTTGAAAGAGCTTCTGTACTGTGTACTGATTCAGTAGCTTCACTCACAGGAAGAGTAGAATTTTGGGGTTTACAGATAACATGTTGGCTTCATTTCTCTAACTCTTTAAAAGGTACATATTTTGCATTGTCAAATAAAAAAATGCAGACTGAATAAGGAGAGACTTTTATTCAAAAAGATTATTGAAAGGTGGGGGAACTACTGTGATAGGGATGATGTTGTGACTGTAAGATCTGCAAACTCATGAGTCAGGCAGAAAGAAGATTTCTTTTTATAAAGAAGAGTAAACAAGGTTAAAATTAACTGGGTGTAGATCAAGTGGTAAGAAAGGGTGGCATGACTGGATAATAGATGAGAAAATATTGCACATGAGGACAGACTCTTTTCAAGAGGGACTTTAGGACTCCCTCGTGGAGCAGTGGTTAAGAATCTGCCTGCCATTGCAGAGGACATGGGTTCAATCCCTAGTCTGGGAAGAGCCCACATGCTGCGGAGCAACTAATCCCCGTGCGCCACGACTCCTGAGCCTGTGCACATAGAGCCCGTGCTCCACAACAAGAGAAGTCACCACAATGAGAGGCCCACACACTGCAATGAAGAGTAGCTCCGACTCGCCACAACTAAAGAAAGCCTGCACACAGCAACAAAGATCCAATGCAGCCAAAAAAAAAACAAAAAGAGGGGCTTTATGCTGGCTAAGGCTGAATATCGGCCAACGTGCAAGGGCCTGAAAGAAAGTGAAGGAGAGAATATTAACCAAAGATTAGGTAAAAAAAATATTTTGTTTTGATTGATCTGTATAGATAATATAATTCAGCTAATCATTATTTAAGAGGCAAAGAAGAGGAGTTTGAGGGTCTGAGTCTACCCTTGCCATAGGATGAACAAGGAGCATCCCTGAGTTTTATCTAAGTTATATGGGTAAGGGTGGTTCTTTGCAGTAAGCCATTTTCCAAAACAAAATTTGGTGGGGGGATTCCTTTAACCTTCATTGTTTTCCAGGAACACTGAGGCTATGGTAAAGTTCTACAATGTCAGCATTAATAGAAGAATCCTTCAAAACAATGGCCTGACTTTTAAGCTATTGTAAAGAAGACCCAGTTAAGTTAAATAACTTGGGTAAGGTCAAAAAGCAAGTTAACAACAGAGTAAACCCAGGTCAGAATTCATCTCTTCTTCTGGTATGCAGTTCTGCCAAGGAGGATCAAGATTTTGAGGGGCTTGAAATTAATACATTTTCATGGTCCAGTTTAAGAAAAAGAATACAAAATGACTTAAAAAAATTAGATATGAAAGTAACTACTTGTATAGGTTGAGAAAAAAAGATAAGAAATTACAAATTTTTAAAAAGCTGCAAATACCACAAACATCACAAAATTCAGGAAAAAAACCCACAGTATTTGATTGGCTCTTCCTATAGAAATAATTTAATGATAATATTTTCTATACAGAGATTAGAAACACAAACCAGTCTTCTGCTAGTATGGTTGGTAAAAATTAATTGTACATTACTGAGACTTTATAACATTATTTCAGCTTTAAGACTTACTTTTGATAACACAAAGTAAACTTTTAGGATCATTGCCAATTTTGGTGAAACTTCTATTGAGGTCTTTTAATTTTCATTGTACTGTTACAAATTTATATTATTGTCAAATAATATATATATGGTGTCAAATATTATTTTATACAAAAGGAGCAAGAAATATATCTTTATCCATTAAGTTTATGTGATTTCCTCCTCCATTTTAATTAAGGAGACAAAAGACCTGTATGCAGAAAGTTATAAGACACTGACGAAATAAATTAAAGATGATGCAGACAGATGGAGAAATATACAATGCTCTTGGATTGGAAGAATCAATGTTGTGAAAATGACTATACTACCCAAAGCAATCTACAGATTCAATGCAATCTCTATCAAACAACCAATGGCATTTTTCACAGAAATAGAACAAAAAATTTCGCAATTTGTATGGAAACACAAAAGACCCCAAATAGCTAAAGCAATCTTGAGAAAGAAAAACAAGGCTGGAGGAATCAGTCTCCCTGACTTCAGAATATAATACAAAGATACAGTAATCAAGAGAGTATGGTACTGGCACAAAAACAGAAATATAGATCAGTGGAACAGGATAGAAAGCCCAGAGATAAACTCACATACATATGGTCACCTTATTTTTCATAAAGGAGGCAAGAATATACAATGGAGAAAAGACAACCTTTTCAATGAGTGGTGCTGGGAAAACTGGACAGCTACATGTAAAAGTATGAGATTAAATCACTCCCTAACACCATACACAAAAATAAACTCAAAATGGCTTAAAGACCTAAATGTAAGACCAGACACTATCAAACTCTTAGAGGAAAGCATAGGCAGAACACTCTGACATATATCACAGCAAGATCCTTTATGACCCACTTCCTAGAGAAATGGAAATAAAAACAAAAATAAACAAATGGGACCTAATGAAACTTAAAAGCTTTTGCACAGCAAAGGAAACCATAAACAAGACCAAAAGACAATCCTCAAAATGGGAGAAAATATTTGCAAATGAAGCAACTGCCAAATTATTAATCTCCAAAATTTAAAATCAGTTCATGCAGATCAATATCAAAAAAACAAACAACCCAATTGAAAAATGGGCAGAAGACCTAAAGAGACATTTCTCCAAAAAGACTTACAGATTGCCAACAAACACATGAAAGAATGCTCAACAACACTATTCATTAGAGAAATGCAAATCAAAACTACAATGAGGTATCACCACACACCAGTCAGAATGGCCATCATCAAAAAATCTACAAACAATAAATGCTGGAGAGGGTGTGGAGAAAAGGAAACACTCTTGCACTGTTGCTGGGAACGTAAATTGATACAGCCTTTATGGAGAACAATATGCAGGTGCCTGAAAAAACTAATAATAGAACTACCATACGACCCAGCAATCCCAGTACTGGGCATATACCCTGAGAAAACTGTAATTCAAAAAGATTCATGTGCTGCAATGTTCATTGCAGCTCTGTATACAATAGCCAGGGCATGGAAGCAACCTAATGGATATTGACAGATGAATGGATAAAGAAGATGTGGCACATATATACAATGGAATATTACTCAGCCATAATAAAAAACACAATTGAGTTATTTTTAATGAGGTGGATGGACCTAGAATCTGTCATACAGAGTGAAGTAAGTCAGAAAGAGAAAAACAAGTAGCATATGCTAGCACATATATATGGAAACTAAAAAAGAAACACAAAAAACAAAAAAAAACACAAAAAACGGTTATGAAGAACATAGGGATAGAGCAGGAATAAAGATGCAGATGTAGAGAATGCACTTGAGGACACAGGGAGGGGGAAGGTTAAGCTGGGATGAAGTGAGAGAGTGGCATTGACTTATATATACTACCAAATGTAAAATAGATAACTAGTGGGAAGCAGCCACATAGCACAGGGAGATCATCTCGGTGCTTTGTGACCCCCTAGAGGTGTGGGATATGGAGGCTGGGAGGAAGATGCAAGAGGGAGGTGATATGGGGATATATGTATATGTATAGCTGATTCAGTTTGTTATAAAGCAGAAACTAACACACCATCATAACACAATTATACTCCAATAAATATATTAAAAAATAAAACAACATCAACAACAACAAAAAATCCAAAAACTTTATTACTTACAGTCAAAATTTACCTTTTCCTGAGATTTTAGTATGCTCATCTTGCCATTTTATCTGGGACCAACAGAGTTCATGCAGGCAAGATACCTCAGATACAAAAAGGCTTGATTAAGTACATTGGAATTCATCAAACATGTGACATCACACATATTCTTGCATTTCACTAGTTTTCTTACTCTACTACTCCTACACTTTCAGTGCTGTAGGATATGTTCATATAACTGTAGAACACCTTGGTCTGCTATGACACCAGGTGCATTGGCTCACTGTACGTAGATATATTCTGAAAGCCATTCTTGTATTAGGACAGTTGGTAACAATTTAACCATGCATGAAAATGACCTCGAATCTCAGAAATAAGTCCTATTAAATCTAAACTATACCAATTCAACTATCCTTAGAAGATTCCCAAGCTGTCCATTTTCACTCCCGTGCCAGCCACGTGGTGGTAAGTGTGATGGAAGGCAAGTGGAAGTGGAAAAATACAGAGATATTAACAAACTAAAGTTATAACGCTTGTGTGTTTGTTGCAAATTTCACAAAAATTTATGACCATATGAATACATTACTCCAGCCCCTGTCAAGTTTTTAGAATGGCCCTACACATGTGAGAGGCCCTGAAGGTTAAGCTTTGTTAGCCTCACAATTGATTTGTCTTTGCACTCTGCCTTCCTGCCATCCTGACATCTGGATTTTTTCCCGCATATAGATAACACTGTTCTTTTTTCCTTTGAACTTTAAAGATTGTCCTGAAGAATGGTTATAATGACTATAACATATTCATATTAGATTTTTCATATTGGAAGAGTAGGTAGCTATTTACCTGGAGTGATTTTAAGGATGCTGGAAGAAACTTTGATCCTTCCTATTTCTGTTCTTCTCATAGAATCTCCATAAGCTTTCAAAATGTTTACACTTTCACCTAAAATATTATCCTTTTGGGTAAAGAAAGTTCAAATTACAAGTATTCCTCGCAAAGAAACATAAAGACAAATTCTGAGTTTGAAATCATTTTATTAGATTGCTTTATTTCTAACATGTACTTTAAAGTCGTGAGAGTTTTGATTGAGGAGGATTAAGGAAGATGTAGGTATGGAAATGAAGCTCTGGTTCCAAAAAGCAAGCCTAAGTGCTTTACTGCAATGGAGAATGCTTTTCCCAGGCCAAGTACAGATTGAGGTATTCACAATGAGAATAGTTTTTGTGACTCAGTCTCAAAGATTCGAACTTATAGGCAGCACAATATTTACAAAAAGGACAATGGATATGGCACCTTGTCAGATTACCTTAAGGAGTTACTGAGTAATTTACTCTGTGGCCAATGAAATAACTTGCATTTTCATATTTGATTAGTGTATAGATAATCATGCTCCCAGTAATTATCTGTAGCTTTTTAAAAATGCAATTTACTAGTAAAAGTTATCTGAACATTGGAGAATCAAATTAGAGGTCTTTCTTCTCAAATTCCCACTTCTCAAATTGTAATAGGAACATATACCCATAACAAAAATATGTATAAAATTCCTCACTCTGTGGTGATATTTTAAAGGCTTAGAAAGAGCCAATTGTTCTTGAAAATATCATGAAGTAGAAGTATTTACTCTTTTTAATTAGGGCCAGTTCTCCAGACCTGACCCAGTACAAACATGTGCAGATTTATATAATGTCTGCAACTTTAGCAAAGTGCCATCCAGATAAATTGAATGGACCCACAATTTTGTTCTAACTTCCATCTGCAGTTTCCTTTCTTACAGTTTTAACAGAAATCTAAAAATAACCAGCTCTACATTAGGGGAGCTTACATACTGTAAGAGGGTGTTTTTAAAGTTCCCTTTGGTGCATCATTTTGTATCTTTGCTATAATTGTATGAAGAAGATTATATTAAGAATTGGCCAAAGAGAGGAAGATCATGGCAGAAGGACTGGCAGAATTCCCACTACTGCCTGACAGGGTGGTGATGGCCACTGACCAGAGACAAAGTCCTGCCTCACATCCTGTGCAGGCTCTAGCTCCTCTATTTCAAGCCACACTCCCTACCAAGGTGATAATGACCAGCACACCCTGAGGAAAGATGTGACTGACATCCACATCAAATCCAGCCCTCTCACCAAAAGCACTGGTCACACACATTCTACTTAGGGGTGCTCCCACCCAAGAACATTGCTTCAAGACCACAATAGGTAACTGTTTTACCTAAATTCATAGAGACAGAGAAAATTAAGAAAAATGAAAGGGCAGAGGAACTACTCTCAATTGAAAGAGCATAAGAAAAGCCCTGAAAAATAAATAATAAAACAAAAACAGATACCAGATAAATCATTCAAAATATTGGTAACAAAAATGCTAACTGAGTTAGGGAAAAGAATTGATCTAAACAGATCTTTTTAACAAGGAACTAGAAAATATAGAGAAGACATGAACAAAAATAAATAATTTAATATCAAGACAAAAAGCACTCAAGAAGCAATGAATAGCAGACAAAATGACACAGAAGAACACATAAGTGATCTGGAAGACATAATACTGGAAATCACCCAAACAGAACAGCACACAGAAAGACAAATTTAAAAGAAAATCAAGTGCAACATACAAGATCTCTGGGATAACATCAAAATTGCCAACATTCACAATATAGGGGTCCCATATGGAGAAGAGAGAGAGAAGGGTATTGAAAATGTATTTGAAAAATTATGGATGAAAACTTTCCAAACCTAAAGAAGTAAATAGATATCCAGGTACAGGAAGCACAGAGGGTCCTAAATAAGATGAACCCAAATAGACCCACACCAAGACATATCATGATGAAAATGGCAAAATTTAAAGATAGAGAATTCTAAAGGCATCAAGAAAAAAACAAAGATTCATATACAAAGGAATCCCCATAAGGCTATCAGCTGATTTCTCTGCAAAATATTTGCAGGCTAGGTGAGAATGGCATAATTTATTCAAAGTGCTGAAACAGAAAAACCTGAAACCTAGGATATTCCACCCAGCAAGATTATTACTTAGAATAGAGAGATAAAGAACTTCTCAGGCAAACAAAAACTAAAGTAATTCAATAAGTAAAGTAAACATATGATAAAAGAAATGTTGAAGGATCTTCATTAAATGGAAAAGAAGTAAGAATATATAGGAAAAGGAAAATCCTGACAGGAAAGACAAAAACATAGAATTAAAGATCACTTAACTAAGCCAGTATGTAAATTTAAAGACAAAGAAAATGTAAAAGCAAATAATGCTATAATAAACAGTAAAAGGATAAGCATGGAGATATAAAATATAACATCAAAAACACAAAGTGTGGAAGAGGGGAGTAAAAACTGTTGAGCTCTTAGAATGTGTTTGAACTTAAAGACAATCAGTTTAAAACGAATAGATATAATTATAGGTCAACATATATGAACCTTATGGTAACCATAGATCAAAAACTTACAATAGATATACAAAAAACAAAAAGAAAGGAACCCAAGCATGCTACAAAACAAAATAATCAAACCACAATGGGAGAAACAAAAAGAAGAAGTAAACAGAGAAGAACTACATAAACAACTGGAAAACAAGTAATAAAATGTCAATAAGTACATTCCTATTAATAATTACTTCAAATGTTAATGGTTAAATGCTCTCATCAAAAGACACAGTGTGATTGATTGGATAAAGAAACAAGAGCCTTCAATATGCTTCCTACAAGAGATACACTTCAGGGCTAAAGACACACAGAATGAAAGTGTCAGGATGGAAAAAGATATGTCATGCAAATGGAAATAACAAGAAAGCAGGGGTAGCAATATTCATATCAGACAAAATAAACTTTGAAACAAAAGCTATGTCAAAAGACAAAAAGGGTAATGTATAATAATAAAGGAATCAATTGAAGGAGAGGATATCTCACTCATTAGCATATACACACCCAATACAGGAGCAAATAAATATATAAAGAAAATACTAACAGACATAAAGGGCAAAATTGACAATAATACAATAATAGTACAGGATTTTAACACTCAACTAACATCAATGGATAGATGAGCTCAGACAGAACATCAATAAGGCAACAGTGGTCTTAAATGGCACATTAGACCAGCTGGACTTAATTGATAGCTATAGGACATTCCAACCAAAACAGCAGAATACACATTCTTTTCAAGTGCACATAGAATATTCTCCAGGATAGATCACATATAAGGTCACCAAAAAAGCCTCAACAAATGTAAGAGGGTATAAATTATATCAAACATTTTTTCCAACCACAAGGTATGAAACTAGAAATCAACTACACAAAGGAAAACAGGACAAGAACAAACACATGGAAAATAAACAATTAGCTTTAACCTTAAAATCTTTTGCCCAGGAAAGGAAACCATCAGAAGAGCAAAAAGGAACCCTACTGATTTGGAGAAAATATTTTCAAATATACAATCAATAAGGGAGTAATATCCAAAATATGTAAACAGCTCATACAACTCAATATCAAGAAAAAAACAAACAACCTAATCAAAAAATAGGCAGAAGACTTGAATAGACAGTTTTTCCAAAGAAGATATACAGATGGCAAACAGGCACATGAAAAGATGCTCAACATCACTAATTATTAGAGACATGTATATCAAAACAACAGTAAGTTACCACCTCACACCTGTCATAATGACTATCACTAAAAATGTTTACAAATAACAAATGCTGGAGAGGATGTGGAGAAATGGGAATGCTGTACACTGTTGGTGGAAATGTAAATTGATGTATCCACTGTGGAAAACAGTAAAGAAATTTCCTCAAAATCCTAAAAATAAAACTACCATATGATGCAGCAATTCCACTCCTGGATATATATGCAGAAAAAAACAAAAGCCCTAATTCATAAAGACACATGCACCCCAATGTTCATGGCAGCACTGTTACAATAGCCAAAATATGGAAGTGGCCCAAATGCCCATCAACAGATGATTGGATTAAGAAAATGTGGCATGTACACACACACACACACACACACACACACACAAAGAAATATTACTCAGCCATAGAAAGAATAAAATTCTGCCATTTGCAGGAATGTGGATGGACCTAGAGAATATTATGGTTAGTGAAATAAGTCAGACAAAGACAAATACTGTATTATATCACTTAGAGAAGGAGTCTAAAATATAATACAAATGAATGTATATGAAAAAGAGATATATACTCACAGGCATAGAAAACAAACTTATGGTTACCAAAAGGGAGATGGAAGGAGGGAGGGACAAATTATGGGTACAGGATTAACAGAAATAAACTCTTATATATATAAATAAATAAGCAACAATGATATACTTCATTGCACAGAGAATTATAGTCATTATCTTGCAATAACCTATAATGGAGTATAATCTGCAAAAACACTGAAATGATGTGCTATACACCTGAAACTAACATAATGTTATAAATCAATGAAACTTCAATAAAATGAAAAGAATTGGCCAAAGTTCTCTGATAGTACAATATAGACATGAATAATGAGCCCTTCAAATCATACTGAGTTTTATTCTTGTTTTGTTTGATTTTTGTGTTTCATTTTTCAATAACGATGATCAATAGTAATTGTATAATCAGTCTTCTGAGTTTATCAGTAGGAGGAGGAGCTTACAGTTGGATTTCCATCTCAGCTAATGTAATAATGTCTCAGTTTATTTTTTAATAGCATAACATGAAAGGACGGTTTAAGCAGGATAAGTGTGACTTACTACTTTGAGAGAAATAAAATCCTTATAACAAGTCACTGATTTGTGGAATTAGTATCTATAACCTGTTAAATTGGTCTTGAGTATGAATACTGAGAGGTGATAATCTACAATCCTTTTTTATGCTCTTACTTTCTATAGCAATGCATTGCCTTTTTAAGTGAAATATGGAATAACACTGTACTCTAATGAATAGGGTAGTTTATCAAT